ACGTCATATGCTTTGTTGATCTAATTGGTTTATTTGGCCCGTCTATCACCAATATAGGCCAATCAGCTAAACAGTATTTTCGCCCATTCCCAAAATTACTTCAACGGAAGGTTTCCAGATGGATATGCGGAGCAAATCCATCTGGCGGAGTCAGGTTAATGCAAATTAGCTCAATAAAGCCAATTTAAAGCTAATTTAAAAAAATAAATTGGCCTTATATTGGCAAAACTTAGACTTAGACAACATTTATTGTCATTTTTTACACACAGTGTATACAAAATATTATTTCATTTTGTACAGCTCTCATGACATTTCCATTTTCTTAAAGTGCAGCAGTGATCAAATGTAAACATTGTGGGAGAAAGAACATGGTGCAAAAAAAAAAAACAAAAACGCATTAATATGGATGTTTGATGCAGAGTCTGTGACATGATTTAGACTTAGAGTTTTGTGAGGCTCCAATTGTTTTAAGAGGAGGAGTTCTTGTACAATAATACTGTATATAATACTGCAATAATACTAAGGAATGCAAGCCCTGTTCTTTGGTTAAAATGAATATACAGTCTGTCTCATTGATGAACTGCATCAGGAGCTTCTTTCATGTTGCTGCTACTGTTGAGCCTTTTTTACATTGTGGTCACACGTAGCACAATAGCTGCTTTATTTATAGAGGGGGTCACCCCTGCTGATGAGCAAGTAAAGAAGCAGCCATGTTGTTTGTAAAAAAAAAAAAAAACTCATTGTCCTTTGTAGTTTTTTTTTTTTTTTTTTTTTTTGTGTCACTTAATGGCAGTGGAGGAACAAGTGTTTTTTATGCATCTCAAGCTGAATTAAAATCTTTGTAGAAACTTGCTTTGATTTTTTTTCTTGAGGCATTCAAAAAACAAAACCTTTTTGAACAACACTATCCTCCAAGAAGTTACCTGTAAAAATGTCTCTTCAAAAGGCATTAACAGGTAAAAGGAAATATATTTTAGCCTTATTCATTCAGAGTAAAAATGACAAAATCTCCTCTTTTCCCTTCTTAAATAGTACTTTTTATACAGCTTTTTGGGAAGTAGTTCCACAAAGGAGTGCTTCAACAGTTACCTGAAACAATGCAATACTGTGCTTGCTTTCCTGGATTAATGGTACAAATAATGAGAATTACCTCTTTGCCAAGATGAGTAAAGGTCATTGTCCTCCATGGTAAAGCCATTCCCTCCCTCAAAATCCCCTTTCTCGGAGTCTCCAGGATCCCTCTGCAAACAAAGTGCCACAGTAAACATTACACAGAGTAAACGCCTCCCTCTTATCAATGCTTTTTATTACCTCACAAAAGTAAGATGGAAGCAAGAACATGGCTTGTGCAAGCACAAGAATTAGAGAAGTGGTAGAAGTTACAGATAATGTTTCAACTTCCCCATGTTCTTATCGGTATCAGCCTGTGGGGAAGGTGTCTAAACATTTTTCCCAAATTAAAACGCTGATGTGAAATGAAAGATGAGCAGCTGAAGAGGCCATAAGGAAAGGTGATACCTGGAAGGCAAGTGTGCTGAGGGCATGGATCCAGCTCTGGCTCTCCACAGAGGCGAAGGTGTAGGTGGACTGGGTGGTGTTCAGGTAGAAGGCTGTGCAGCGGGCAGGGCACGACTCCTTGAGAGCAGGGGTCACACTGAGACAGTCAGTTAAACGCACCACCTTTCTCTCTGATGTTTTCTGCCGACTGGCCTTCAGCTGGTCGCTGAAAGCGTTGCCATCAGAAGCTGAACAGAATTCCAGTCGACCCACGCCTGTGGAACTGGGTTTGAAAAGCACCATCCAGATTTTCCGCCAGGTTCTCTGATGAGACAAACAAAGCGGCTCTATTTAATGTCTTTGAAAATATAATTTAACCTCTAATATTTTTACAGGGCAAAATAAAAATGTAGTTGTAATTTAAACCCAAAATATAGCTTTTCTTTGCATGTCAAGCCTGTGGTTCTTTTACTGCTGTGTTCCCTGTAAGAAATTATTGGTGAACCCAAAGGGTGGCTGATTGGTCAAAGATGCATAGCAAAGGAACCAGAGCAAAATCAAAAGGACTAAACATCATTTGAGTGTCTTTATATCAATTTTTAATTAGAGCAATCAAATCTAAAGATCTAAACAAGATAATTTCATGCTTGTTCATCAATTACATGAACTTCAGTTGCATTTGTAAAACCAAAACACAAGCTGAAAAACCTCAAGATTTTGTTGATGTTTAGTCATTAAGATATGAATAATATAAAAGTAGATTCTTTCACCACCTCGCTACCAAGCGGCGTACCTGGATACAGTGCTTGCAAGCCTTTAAAAAGTCCATTTAACTGTTCCATGTTTTCAAGAAAGTGTTAAAGATCAGTATATGCACCTTGACGCTCTATCTATCTATGAGAAGAGATCACTCGGGACAAACTCTTTAAATAACACTTCATAACTTATATGTATTAAATAACCATGAGACACTGTTAGGTTTATTCAATGATGATTATAAAATTAATGTATGTACATATAAAACATTGAGAAATGAGATGCTTCACTCTGTCTTATGATTCAATCAGTGGAGCTCCTGTCTTATGACCTGATCAATTGTCCTGTCAGAAGAATACTGTTTTGTAACCATGTGTTATGTTCTGTTAATAAAAGCGCTCTGCAGAGGAAGTACGGGAGAGAGAGTTAGAAAGTTCGGTTGCGGCTCTCTTCTCCTTCTGCAGAAGCTGTTGAAAATCCCTTTCTGTGTGGACTCAGTCCCTCTTTTACGAACCTACATTTTTTAACCTAACAGATCGGAAGAGTTGCTATGAATTTATAGATTGGCTGCTGCTCCCCTTCGGGCTCACCTTTCATAAAGTGGCCCCGATTAATAGTTAAAAAGGCCTTTTATACATCTCCAGTCTGCCACATCATCATATTTTACATCATACACGTTAGCAGATGAGAAGACATCAATGGCTCCAGCCTTATCAAAATATTACAATTTGTTCTTAGTTGAAGGACACCGCTCTCATGCCATTCACAAATATTTGCCTCTTACAGAATGAAGATTATAACTGCATATCCGGACAGAGGAACCGTCTTAACCAGATAAACCTATATGGAAAACATCAGTTCTGACTCGCAACAGGCAGCCGATACCAAGGTGTAATAAACTCACACATCATCAATGATAATTATACTAACAACAGTGATAAAAATTTTCCAGCTTTTATGAAAGATACAGAATTTGATACTCAAGCTGAAAAATAAAATAAGTAGTGGGAGAGATAATAATAAACTTCTTTAACACATCAAAAATGGACTAGATAAAGTGTCAACTAGTCAGCTGCAGTTGATTCAGAATGCTACTGCCTGCTTCCTCACTCTTTTTGCCTAAGGGTAAATTAATCTAGTGGTAATTGAAACCCTAAATATAGCCTGCACTTCATGTCTATAGTTCCCATTCTGTGGCCTTCGCTTTATAAGAATTGATGTAACATCTTAAAAACAGACTTAATAATAAGTGTGTTACACAGCTGCAGCCGATGCAGAATCTCGCTGCCAGCGTCCTTACTGCAGCTAAGCAAGTGGAGCGCATCATCTTACACTGACTTCCTGCATCTCGGAAAAAAGACCTTAAAATATATCTGCTAGTTTCTATATATCTGAGGGCTTAGCATCAAAAATACATTCAAGATCACTCAGCTTTTATCAGATATACTCTGTATGACCAGAACCAAACAAGGAGAAGAAACGTTTAGTTCCTATGCTCCACTAAAGTGGAACAAACTCCCAGAAGACTATAAAAGGGCTGAAGCTTTAAGTTATTTCAAATACCATAAAAATAAATGCATTTGTTTAAAGTGGACTATATGAACTGTCAAATGAAGCATACTTAGTCTGTTTTCCAACTTTAACCCGCTTGATTTATGCCACTGCAAAGTACTTTTCTCTGTTTTTCATTAATGATTAAAAGCTTTAATTACTGTAATCTTGTTACTGAAATGTGCAATACAATAAACTTTTCTTGGCTAATAGTTACGGTAAATCTGGACACACAGGTGAACAAACTAAACTAAAACCACAAACTAAAACCGCTCCTCAAGCAACTCTGACTCAATTTCTGCATTCAGGCCTCTTTAGTGGAGACAGTGGCGTCTGATGGAGTTTGCCCCGCACCTGAGGGTTGTCGGTTTAAGCTCCAGCTTTCAGCTGTGTACTGGGCCAAGACACATTTCAACAGCATTGCCTACTGATGGTGATCAGATGCTGGCGCCAGTGTACGGCAGCCTCGCTTCTGTCAGTGAGCCCAAGGGCAGCTGTGGCTGCAATGTAGTTTACCACCATCAGTGTGTTTGTGAATGGGTGAATGACTGAGGCCCCGTCCACACGAAGTCAAACCCTGGCCTAAATTCACAAATTTTTCACCAAACCACTCAGGCCCCGTCCACACGAAGTCAAAACGAACACGAAACGCTAATATTTTCCAGAACGTTTGTCTTAAAGACGGAGACGTAAAATAAATGTGATCGACCACATGAATGCATGAAAACGCTGCAAAATGTATGCCAGGCCTGTAAGTGGCGCTGTTGTGCCAAAGCAAAAATAGGCGAAAACAGGCAATGAAATGTTGGGCATGCGCAGTAATATTTATACAACAACCAAACCGGAAAACCCCTAGAAGAAGAGCCAAATCGATATTGCTCTGTTCTTCCTGGAGATATTCCAGAAGAAGAAGATTCTGTTGTAAGCCCGACAGCAGGGTGAGTAGCATGAGCAGCAACCATTCAACACAGTACGGCGCCATTGTTGTTGTGATACTGTGTCGCGCATGCATGTTTAGAGGCGACGCTATGACGCATGTGTGTAAGAAAAAAAATGCGGTCAAAGCTTAAAGATGGAAACGCGAAAACGGTGTTTCAAAATCTTCCCACTCTGAAGGCTTAATAAAAAAAAGATTGTTTACAGACCCCCGAAACGCCGGCTTCGTAAAGCGCCTCGATTATGTTCTCTGGCTTAAAAAACGCTCTATGTAATTTATGGGCTATTTAGTAAGAATGTTTTTTTGACTTGTTGACTCTCTCTTTCAGACTGGGAAGACATCTGTTGTGCTCATCCCTCTGACTGCTTGTTGTCTTTTAGGCTCAGACTCACTGTGAGGCTTGAAATGCATCTCTATGAAATATCTAAAGGTTTAGAGTCTAAACTGATTCGTGTTTATGATTTAATTCACTTAGAAAAACACCAATGTTCCATTGGAAGAGAATTAGAATCAGATCATGATGCTGCCATCGTTTATCAGGAAAAGATACATTGAAGTAGTGTGATCCAAACATTACTGTTTGGATTCTTCAGATCGTAACACATTGTCCTATTTGGTTAATGAGGATTTTACCAGTGCCTGGTTATTTTCCAGCTTAGGTCTTTGTTGGGTTCAAAAATGTAGGTTTGTAAAAGAGAAACTGAGTCCACACAGGAAAGAGATTCAAACAACACCTGCAGGAGTGGAAAAAGCCCAACCCAACTTCCAGCTCTTTCTTCAACCTCCCTCCTGCAGTCGCCTTTTATTAACAGAACATAACACATGGTTACAAAAGAGAGTATTGTTCTGACAGGACAGTTGATCAGGTCATAAGACAGGATGCTCAGCTGACTGAATCATAAGACAGAGTGAAGCATCTCCTTGCTTCAATGTTTATAAGCACACACACGTTAATTTTATAATCATTATTGAATAAACCTAAGAGTCTTCCAATAATTCTTCTTCATTGTATATTCTTACTCATAGCCCATTACCAGGAAGTCATTTTGATTCTCTGTAGCATCTCTTTAAGGTACTACTGAAAGCAAATGTTCTAAAGGACAAAATGCCAGGAAAAGAAATTACATAATATCAGAGTTTCTTTTCTGAAACTGAAAATTTGCTAGAATTGTGAAGATTAAATGCTAAAAATAAATCTGACGAAGCATTGGTGTAAGGTTGTGACACTCCTTAGTATGTTGGGGTTTTTCAGTTGTACTGTAGAGTCATATTTTTCAATAACGGTGACAAATATAAGATAAAAAAAATTGCAACAGCTTATTAAGAAAAACTTAAACAGGGACATTTTGGGCTAATAAGTTTTATGTTTAATACCTTCATCAAGATTATTTTACAATGTATTTTTAAACATGTAAGTACCTTGTACAAGCGAGTCTCATTGTAAAGCACATCCTAGTAAAAAGTAATGTGAACTGCATGTCTCTCGTCTCTTTAAACATAAAAGATTATTTCTGCAGTCCAGAATACCTGGAATTTCAACTCACCAACAATATTTAAAATTGTGCATCATCCTTAACATAGTTAAACATGTTACTGGCAGCATAATGCTGTGGGGAATGAGTAGCTGGTCCAAATTAAGTGAAAGATAAATGAAGCTAAACTACAAAACGAATGAACAATAATTGAACTTCTCCTTATATTGTTGGGTTTTTTTAAAAATTAAATTTCACACTGGAGTCAGTGTGGGAATGGTTTGTACTATACCTACAGGAACAATGAGTAGTTTTACAAGGTAAAAGTCACGTTTCTATTCCGATACTTCTTGTGAAGGTGCATTCACAGTGCTGAAGTGAAAAATAAGTCAAAGGCTTACAGAAAACTCATAGTTCCTGTTTATCAGGGGAGAAAGCCAGAAGAGAGAACTTCATTTCCCTTTTCTCCACCTCCTACTGACAAACCTTAGACCTCAGGTCTAGAATCTGAGAATAATTTTAGGGAACCAAGTTTAAAATATCTACAGCTCCTCATTGTCTTCCACTCTGTTTTCCCTTAAATGCGACAAGTATTATTTGAGCTACTGTGGTTTTATGTTCGATATGTTTTAAGATTAGGTCCCTAATGATGGCTGGGGTCATGCAAAGGTGAGATAGTTTAACTATTATCATCAGTCTTTAAAAGTACAAAATACAAGCACCGGATAACCCAAATATTAACCTGGTAAAAATAGCCAAAAACGTTCGTCTATACAAATAATACCTGATAAAACCAAGATAATCAGCCTCTTTGAAAAAATTTAAGTTGCGTCTAACTCTGTAATAGGTTGGTTTAAATAGTTCTGAGTCTTTCTTTTTGTTTGTTTGAAACCAACACTATGGAAACTACATCCTTTACTTTACATAGTAATGTTATCTTTTACCCACTTCCAAATATAAACAACAAGTGCTAATTATTCAGAGCTATCCTTTTTTTAAAGCAAACAGCAGATCTGAGCAAACCCACATTTAAATCTTAGTAAGATTAAAATGTACTTGTCTTGTGGTTAAAAGGGTAAATTCCTCATGTATTACAGCCAAAAGTATTAAAGTATTTTTCTTTTTTTTTTCATCTGCTAAGAATAGTTTAAGATAGGGCTCTAAAATATACCAGCATGATCAGAGCAGTTTTACTGGTAGTAAGTCCGACTTGCTGGCATAAAAAGTTAAGAATCTAAAAGGAAACCTCTGATTTAGACTGAGTACACATGCAGACCAGAGATGGTTATGTAAATGATTTGAAAAGAGATGGCTTGAAAAGAGGGCTGCACAGTGCCGCAGTTTGTAGCACTGTTCCTTGCAGCATCAATGACCCTGACCGGCTGTGACCCTGACGGAATAAGCGGGAGAAGATGGATTGCATGAAAATAATGTATGGGAAAAAAGTAATTTTCTCAACAAGCAGCAGATGCTGCTTTCAGCCCACAGCACTCACAGGCGGCCCTGTCCTCACCTATGAGTGGTGGGAGGATTCCTTAGAATCAGCTGGTGAGAAAAAAAAAAAAACTGATGACAAGGTAGTGTTGGTAGTTTTTCTACATGAGCGGCAAAGAGTTTCCTTCCTGGACAAATTTTGGGTCAACCAGTAAGAATGATTGAAGCGGTTTACAAAATAAATGTGTAATATCAGTAAAAGAACCTCCAGCACAGATGTTATTCACACTGCTATGGTTCAAAAGTTTTTCTGATCCGACTAGCTATGGGTGTGTAATGTTAAAGAAACAAAGGTTAAAACAAAGTAAAGCTATCCCAAACAGTGTCTATGAAAATTACACTCATCATGTAAGTTACAATCATATTATCAGTTAACCAGCCTCGGTTATTGGATTCCTGCTTTATGCCTCAGGAACTACTACCATCCATTCCCCTGGTCCATAACAGTCTGGGTGATGCTACATGCTACTGCAAACACTAGTGTGTTAAATTCCCATTGCACGGTATGTTGAAAGTATGGGGCTAATTCAACATTTGTTCAGTTGAGCTTTAGGAGAGTTAGCTCATCCAAAGAGGAGCTGTTAATCAGCAGAGTTAAATTCTAGCCAATCTGTTAAGTGCTGATTTTAAAATATATAATTATCAGTGTTTTCCCTAATAATAAACTTTAAACTCTTATCAGTTCTACACATATCAATCTGGGTACTGCCAGGTTTGTTTAGGACAGCCTTACTTCTGTCAGCGCGCCCAAAGGTAGCTGTGGTTACAATATATCAGGCAGCATGGGAATAATTACCACTGTTATGCTGATGATACTCAGCTATATTTGTCCAAAAACACTAGTGTGCGGTGTTAACTTTTGAAGCTATATGCACGAGTTAGATCAATTCAACCCTGTTAAAAGTTGAATTGCAACATTATAAGTGTTGATTCTAGTCTCTCAAAGTGTTAACTGTTTAACACTTTCAGAGGTGTTTTAATTAGCTCACACCAGTAAAAAGCAATATAGACACTTTAGAAGTGTTGAATTATCTCCCTAGACGTTGAATTGACCATTCAGAAACTGGATTTGCTAGTAAATCTTATCCAAATGTTTAAAATATGAAACATGTGGTTCAGGTATCCTGATAATTATACATCGCTTTTTTGTTCATCGAGATTGCTTAGCTCCTCATATCTCATAATTTTATTTTATATATACGTATATATGTATATATACGTGTGTATGTATATATATATATATATATATATATATATATAAATATATATGTATATACGTATACATATATATATATTTACACACTGGTTATTTTTATTAAAGTTTTGCAGAATAAGCATTATAGAAGTACTGAAGCAAGCGGTGCATATGCAAAAATTACACTTTATGCAGATGACACTTGCTTTATTTTTCATAACTATGACAGAAGTTAATCTTTCAATTCTTGTCTGAGGGTATAACACTTTCTTATGCCACACAAGGAGGGTTTTCATGTTTAGTCAACTTGTTTCCAATCTTTGTTTGCAGTGAATACCTTGAGAGAAATAAAATAAGTGCTGCCAAAGCCTAGCAAGACTTATTGATGATATTGTTAAAAATGTATTTATTTGAAAACATGACATCCTGCAACTATTTCTATATTTGTTTTCATGTGGTTAGAGTCAAAACAATCTAAGCACGTTGCATGGCCCTCACACCATGCACCGCATTTTAGAAATCTTTTTCTTCCTGCTGGTTTAGCAGTTAGCGGCATCGTAGCGTAAAAGCCACAAACCTGAAGGAGCCTGAAACAAAGCTTTCCACTTTGAAAGGTGTCGGTTTAATAGTAATGTAATGTGTTTAATTCATGAAAATATGGCGCAAAGAAAGAGTTTATTCGAACATAATGTAACTATTTTCTTCTGAACAGAATGATGACAATACATGCTAAAAGCTGTAGCAGTTTTGCAGCAACTAAATCCATTCTCCATCTTTTAAAAAGGACCTCTCTCTTCAAAAGGTTCAACTTTTTTATCAGTTGACAGAATATTTTCCCAAAGTCTTGCGGGTCACCAAGACTTTTTTGTTTCTAGTAAATATAAAATGAGTCTTTGTGTTCACCAGCAGGTTTTTCCTGTAGAACTCTCCCATGGATGCTGTTTTTACCCAATTTCTCTTTATTAGCACAAGATGAAAACTACGGCAAATTATGTCAATATTGCTTTAGATCATGTTTCCTAAATGCTGTCCCTTGGGGTTCATTGTCCCACAACTTTTTAGACGTGGTTCTGCTTCATCACACCTGAGTCAAATATTCAGGCCATTAGCAGGACTCTGGAGAACTGACTGCATTCCAAGGAGATATTTTAGACATTTGATTCAAGAGTGTTAAAGCAGACTCATCTTAAGGCTGAAGTACACTGGATCTTGAGGATTGGAACTGAAGTCATCTACTTTAGATTGTTTGGGTCCTTTTACGACCTCCTGGATGAATCAAGTATGTGGTCTTGGATTGCTGGTTTAGATTTTATTGTAAATGTCTGGCAACATGAAGCAACTGCTGAAACAAAACCTTCGATATCCTTCAGTCTGGGAAGGGTTTATTTTTTTTTTTTACCACATAGTCAGACTGTTTTGGATGTTTCCCCCGCCTTAAATATAAACAACAAAATGTTTTTATGAACTTAAATATTTGATATCAGAGAAAGTTTAAAATTGTACTTTGTTAATCTGCAAAAAGGCAAAAAAGGGGCGGGAACATTTCACACCATTGTGTAAACATGCATATATATATATATGCAGACATATTTGGGTTCTGAAATATTAATTTATGTAACTGAGCAACATTTTATTATGGTTGCTAGAATCATATTTTAACAAATAATTGCGCTATAAATTGAAATGCAAATTTCTGCAGCAGTAGGAAATAAAAGCTGAATTTCATCAGATATGCTGCAGCCTTGAATTCCACCTTTTCTTTATATAGATCCAGTCTTCCAATGCAGTCCAAAGATAGGATCAAGAATGCTTTACTATAATAATACCCATGTTTCAGCTTGAGTTTTTATATCAGCTCATTATTCTTGCAGGTGTTTTAAGAGCATGATGGGAACATTTAGCCGCTTTGTACGGATAACGGATGGAATCAAGCTTATAAATTTTAACTGAGTTTTTCCAGTTGGTGTAAACACATTTATACATGAGGGACAATTGATCTTATAGTTGTATAGACAATATTTTTTTTTAATAACCTTAAGGTGGAATGTAAGATATTTTGATATAAGTGCCTTAAAGTGTAAATTGCAGCTGAAGACGTAATAAATTCTACCCTTTAGAAATTATAACTGCTGAAATTTGGCCAAATGCTCAAAAGTAAGCAGAATATTTCTTTAAGATGATAAATGATATAACTCACTTTTCCAAACTTGGCCCCCTGAAGATACAGCATCCCCTCTTTGAAGATGACCTCCATACTCGTACGCTCTGTCTGAAAACTGTTCACACAAGAGCAGATGTGGCGAAAATATGCTGAACTAAAACTGGTGAGGTGGTTTAAAATTAGACCTCCTATACCGCATGCCTGATAGTTTCCTTGACGTCACAAACTGTCGACCAGTGTGCTTGACAGGAGTTTAAAAAAAGAAAAACAAAATAAAAAAACCCAAAAATCAAGATGCAACTGTTACAAAAGAAAGGACACACGTTGTGTGTTGCTGTTTTCTTGAGTCAAACTTCCCTTTGTATCATTTTGCAACCACGTCAACTTCCTTTTAGAAAAAACTAAAGTGACTTTTTATTTCTCCAATTTTCTACATGACACAAAAACAAAATATCAAATTAAAAGGTTTTATTTACAGTTCTGACGTTCCTCGGTGTGTTTTACTAATATGACAATGAGTAACGAAGAGAAAAGGGTACAAAGAAGGAATCCTTTTTTGTCCAACAGACCTGTACAAAATGATAAAATAAACTTCCCCAACTCAGTGACATTACATGTAACCGAGGCGTTTCCACAGAATTATTTTCACCCCAAGCAGAACAACTTTGTATTCTGGTGAAAAATGCATTTAAAAGTCCATGGAGCTATGAGCCAGGTAGTCTTTGCGACCGATGTTGGTGACCTGCTTGGTCTGCATGGCCTCCAGCTTGGGACAGTCGGTAATACGATGGCCGAGACCGCCGCAGAACGTGCAGCCCCTCTCACCTGGGAAGACGCAAGAACAGACACATTACAAACAGGCCTGCTGGTACAGCACAGTGGAACGATGTTAGTGCAATGCTGCAACAAAGACTCTTACCTCCGATGTCCAGCATGGTTTCATCGCCCGTCTGGAGCACCTGGAGGACCGGAGGAACCTTCTGCTTGGCTTCAACCAGCAGAGCTTTCAGATCCATTAACACAGACTCATCTGTTAGGAGATAAAAGATGTTAACTGTTGGATTTAACCTTAAATAGGCAAACTGAAGTCCCTTTATGTCCAATCTTATCTGACTACAATAAAATAGCCTAACTTCTGTCAGTGATTCCATGTTTCTCATTAAATTATTTGCAAAAACAGAAACCAGCTCAATTCCTCCTGAGCTGGATCACAAAAAAAAAAAAAAACAGATCTTCACCAGATTTCAAAACTCTTACAGAGCTAAACATATCAATTTAACGTTAATAAGAAGGAAGGTCATAGCTGAATAAGCCAGTTGATACTTTGCAAGTCACCAAACTAAGTGTAATTTCTAAAACCGCTGATGCTAAACAGGTTTACTTTGCTTCCCAGCACTGAGCCTTTCATAGCAAACTGTGAACAGAAAATAGATAGTTGGGGTTTCAATAATAGTGGATTTATTTTTTTATTTTTGGTCTATTTCACTTCCTGGTCTATTTCAGGACAGCAGTTCTGCTGTCCTGAAATAAACCACTGTGCAGCTTTTTCCTCAGCTCTTAAAATTCTATCTTGCTAAAGTATTAGCACCCCTTAAAGGAATAGTACACCCAAAACATGATTAGCCTTCATTTTCTACTCACCCCCATGCTGAACAACACTCTGGAGTACTTTTTTGA